AAAAAAAAAAAAGTAAAGGGGGAAAGAGTTCTCTACTGCAGTAAAAATCTTTCAGTCACTGCGACAGGCCGGCCAGGCCTGAGCGGTGCAGTGCGGGGTCCGCCCCTGGGCCTACTTGGGCTCCTCGATGACACCTTTGCTGAGGTCTGTCATTTTGGGATATTTTACTTTCTTCTGGTCCAGCTCATTCTGAGCCCAAAGGAGTAGTTTCAGTAATTTCGCCAGCTTGGGTGTAGACTCACGATTTTCATAGTCTAGGACAGCTTGGTTCACTTCGCTCCACACCTAGAAAAGAAATACATCCAGTGGCAACCACCACACGTGCAGGGTGCCAGCCAAAGAGTCGATCAAAGGATGCATTTTAAACCTCTTAGAAACCAATCTGACACAAGCGGCTTATCACTCATCTAAACCAATGTGAAGCTGGTTACTTGAGGCACTCTGGAGGACGCGAATGCACGTTCCCGCCCAGGAGTTACAGTCTGGTCAGCTCGTGTCACGTCTGGCCTAGATGGCAGTTAAGTGCCACCAGCAGGCTACAGGGGGCTGCGTGCAAGGAAGAACCAGGGCGGGCTGACGCAAGCAGAGCACCTGCCAGGGACCTGAAGGACGGCATGCCTTCAGCACCAGGGGGCGATGGGGGACGGGAGCTGCGTCTGGGGAAGTAACGAGCCCCATCGGCTGGCACACAGAAGGAGCAGTTCCTAGCTCAAGGAGAAAGGATGACGCTGTCCCAGGTGTCACTCAGCACCTCCACCTGGCAGAGCCCCGTGGGGCGGGCAGGGACCCACCCCGCTGCCTTACCTTCTGCCTCTGCATCATGTTCAGAAGGTCCCCGAAGGGCGACTCCTCGGGGTTGTCGAAGGCCAGCAGGGCCAGCGTGCGTTCCATCTCCGTCAGGCACTCGCGGCTCTCCTCCCCCTGTTCTGCCAGCTGGGTCTGCGCAAACTCCAGTGCCGCCTCGGTCTCCCGCTGCCGGATCAGCTCGATCAGGTGCTGTTGCTGGTCAGGGACAAGGTGGACGGGTCACAGGGCGCAGCCAGGCCCAACAGCATCCCCAAGGGCACGCTCCGAGCGTCTGAGTTACTATGTTTGCACTCTTAAAGCAAGGGAGCCTCTGAAAACACACGATGACAGCTACCTCGACCCCTTGCCCACACAGGTCCCAGCACCACTTGTGCCATGAGATGAGCCATCGGCAGTCACCTGAACGTGGCCGTGCCCGTCAGTCCACTCACCTGCAGGTGGAAGTACAGGTACCGGTTAGTGTCCAGCAGCTCGGGGTGCAGGCTGTTGATCAGAGCGATCGCCTCCTGAATCTGGCCTTTCAGGAGCATCTCCCGGATTTTGATTCGCTCGTCAAGCGTTTCTAGGTCCACACTAGGCTCGATCCCAGACTCCATTCGAAACTTCTCTGCAGCTTCCTTAAAGCCCTCTGAAATGACAACCTTCCTCACTACTCGGAAAGTCAGCAAGACACTGCCACAAAACCTCCTCGTCGCCTGTAGGCCCATTCGCCTCAAGTAAATAACCTGGACGTGAGTAACTTCAACAGGGGTTTGGTATTAATATCGTTGCCATTTCCCAGTTACACCCAGTTACATTGAAGAGGCCGAGTGTGCTCCATTCCTTTCCACCCACTCCCAAACCTCTCAGCCCCCAGCCAGACGGGACAGCTAACACTCTGAAGCCAAAGTGCTGCTGTGGGCTCTGCGAAGACACTGCAATCCCAGGTCCAGGTGACATGACACGCAGCACACACCAGCCACACCCAACTGAGGGCGGCTGCAGCCTCCACATCAAAGTGGCATGTGCCTCTACACACAAACGTACGCACGCATGCATGTGTACACACAGCCCTGGGCTGACATTTCCTCCTCACCTTTCAAAAAAAAATCTCAACAGAGACTTAGGGGGGTGGGGGTGGCGGGGAGGTACTGAGAACTAGGGAAGGAGACGTAGCACTTTGGAAACATCTGGGCTTTCTTACCATGCAGTCACCCTTTTCATTTCCAATACCCAGGAGGACTGAGTGTTAGCTACAGACCACTTTCGTCTCCTTGTGTATGTTCTGCCTTTCCCCCTGTCCTCTTCTGAGTTGGGTACCTTCTAGAAACAGTCCAGAATAATTTACCAGACTGGCCAGAAGAGACAGACGACGTGGCCTTTAAATGTACTTCAGAACATCCTTAATTACCCTGATTAACTGAATCAATGTCAAAACCCAAGAAACGGTTTTACCTTCGGTCTCAGAGACCTGGAACAATGGTCTTCCCTC